GAGAAGAAGAATGATACGAGTTATTGTACCAATACTTAGTCCATGATAACCAGTTGACCCATAACCTGGGTGTCTCTGACACAAAGCATCTGAGGTAGGTCTTCAAGCTCCTGTTGACCACTTTTGTTTGGCCATCCTTCTGTGGGTGGTAGGCGGTGATCCTTTTCAACACGGTCACCTGTAGTCTGAACAACTCCCTCCAGAAATGACTAAGGAACATTTTATCCCTGTCAGATACTATCACCTCAATTATTCCATGTTACCTAACAGTCTCCCTGATGAAGGCTAATGTTACTGTCACTGTTGTGTACGTCTCATAGTTTAAAATTGCGTAATTAGAGGCATGCCTCTATGCAATTTCACTCCCAGGCGCCTTATTGCTTAAACAATTATGGGACCAGGAGAGGCGTCGCGCCTCATAGGCGCAATTGTGTAATAACAAGAGAGGCGTACGCCTCAAGAAAATGGGTCCCACTCACTGAAGTGCCTAATCAAATGCCCCTCTCATTCCTCCCTAGTTCCTTCGGCCGACCTGACCCCGCCCTAGCGTCCCTCGGCCGACCTTCCCGCTGCCTCTCCCGACGGCGCCACCTCACATCGGTGAGCATCATGTGTCTGGCTGCCCTCTACGACATCTCTGCTACCGGTTTTAGTTTTATTTTTTTTTTTCAAATTAAAGGTTTGATTTTTCAACTTATAGAAAATCCAGGGTTTAAAATTTTTTGAGATTTTTGGTTTGATTTTGCAGCTAGATGATCTAAGTGTGGATGTCTTGAGGGACAAAGTAGATCAAGCGATCACATCCACTATTATCACACCACACACATCCACTAGTACTACAGCATAACAAGCAAACAAAAGTATCTCATAATTTTTTATGTGCTATTACATTTAAAATATATGCAATTAACAACACACTAATTATTATTATTGAACAGAGAAGAATAAAGTGGATAACATTGAAGATGATGAAGATTTGGCATTCATAGATACAATTGAAGTTGAAGATTCCTCCCTTGAAGACCCATTTAGTGATGGGACATGATTGGATTTTAAATGTTCTTTTTTATTTGTACTTTGAAAATTCTGATAGACTTCAATTTGTAGTTTTGTACTTTGAATTATGTTATGAGATGCATATATTGCATCTGTTTTATTATTTTTCACTAAGTTCGTTTCTCATTTAGATGTTTTTATTGTATCATAGACTCTTAATGTTATGTACCTGCTAGAATACTTAAATTTGCATTTACGCAATTCTTCATCCATGAGGCTTACTCAATCCGCCTCGAGGCTTATAATTCGCATATTTATACCTTGGTACGGATGTCGTAGGGGAATAAAATGAGCATACTTGCTCAATCTATCCACCACAACCAAGATCACTATGAGCCCTCAGAGCGGGGAAGCTCATCTATGAAGTCCATAGATAACTCCTCCCATACTCATCCTGGTAAGGCCAATTAATGTAACAGTCTTCCTGGTGACATAGCCAAATACTTGTTCCTTTGACAAACCTCACATCTGGCTACCATCTCCTTCATATCCTTATGCATCCCCTTCCAATAGCTTTGTCGCCAGCCTTCTGTAGGTTTTTTGCACCCCTGAGTGACCTCTAACTACACTCCCATGGAACTCCTGAGGCAGGTCTGGAATGTGGACTGATGTCCTGGATATTACAAACCTCCCCTAGTACAGCAGTCTCTCCCCCTCCAATGAGTATCCCGGGTGGCTACTCCCTTCCTTTATTAATTTGCCTTGATCCTGCCCAACTCGTCATCCCTAGCACTCCTCCTTGATGGCCTCCCTATCTAACATCATTGGGGTTCATACTGACATCGTTTGCAGCTCTCCCACTGGTACCATGGCAGCGCCTTCCCCTTCCAAGCATAAGCTTGCTGCTGTCAATTTCTCATCCTCTGTCATGCCATTGACGACAAAATACCTTTCCACATTATAAATCCACCCATAAGCATCCTCCTCTTCGAATATGGGCATCTTCAATTTCCTCACCTTTTGATCTCCACCATTCTCCCTTATTTCTCCATAGCCTCCCCTCTCCCAAGTGCTGGGCCCTCTCCATGTCTCCTGGTCTTCTCTTGCCCTATCATAGCCCAAACCCCCTTTGAATTCCCCTCTTCTTTCTTCAAAATCAGCACATTGGCAACCATAATATCCATCATGGCATTCCCCATATCTACCTCCCCTTTCCTTCCTCTGGAAAGGCTCTAGATGGGGTCTTCTTCTTTCTCATTCCACAATTTCCACCTCATCTTCCTCCCTACGAATTTCAAAGTTTTTGTTTTTCACTTCCAGTCCTCTCGCCTAGGACGCCGCCATTTGGGTTTGAAATTCTAACAACTTTTTTCAGCATGTACCGCAAATCGGCCACTTACCCTTCCATGGAAGAAATTCTTTCCTCCACTGTTTCCTTGATGTGATTTATCTCTCCTTCAAGTCTCTCTTCCAGCGCATCCACTTTCTTTGCCGCCATCTCTATCCGGATTTTTGTAAATTCAAACTTTCTGAATTTGGGTCTCCAAAAACAGCAACTTTCCCTTTTTCCGTTTCAAAACCAGCTACTGGAATTCACCAGAAATAGCCTTTTACCGGTCCCAAGACTTGCTTTGATACCAATTTGATAGGAAATACTTGAGTTCGCAAGTAACCCTAATGGGAATACTTGAGTTGGCAAGCAAACCTAAAAATATTTGATAAAATCAGCAAGAAAAATAGAAGAATTTGGTTGGAAGCAATCAAAATTAGCAGATAATTTTATAGAAATCAAAGCGAAGCAAGAACGAAACATAGATACAATTGATCCTCAATTTGAGAGGAGGATCGTTCTCTCCCATTCTCTAGATGAGAAACCTGGAGCTTAGGACACCAAAGAGAACTTCAAGAGAAACAATAATCATGTATGACCCTAACACTAGCCTTCTTCTTCCTTTTAATACATACTTCCTAATACAAAGCCAATTAAAGTTTTCCTAGAATAAATCAAATTCAAATCCAATTCAAAAGGATTTCTCTAATTGCTGCCCACCCCATTTCCCTTTCTCTATATCACGCCCAAAGTGTGCCCCTCAATCCCCACGGAAGGAGGCGGCTTAGCCCGCCTCCTGTATACATGAATCGGCCCAAGCGGGGCCGGTTTGGGCGGTTTAGGAATAACCATATCACAAACTCATTTTTAATCCCAAAAATTTATGCATTTATGTTAGGGCCAATGAATTAGTATTTCTGCATTATTATATTTTTCACCTATCTTTTGTAAGACTAAATCCAAAGATATGTTCCTTTTGTGTGCAAGACCTATCTTCAAGTTAGGTAATTTGTAGTTGATAAAGAGAAGAATATATCTCTACTTGGATTCTCTCTTAGTGGGTATGGCGGTTATAGAATTTTGGCATTGACGGGCGGCTTCAACTAGAGTTCTAGTTGATTTCTTCTTGGTGAGAAATAATCATCTTATACATTAAAGGTTTTTAGGGTTTTCTTTCTTGAGCATGGATCTAAGAAGGGTTGATAAGTGTTACTTCATTATGCACGCCATGTTTGTGGCTTACATAATCAAATCCTCTCTCCCATCCTATATGTATATACTTGTTTGTAGATGAACTTGTATTGCTTTATCCTCGTCTCTTTTGTGTTTGTTTGTAGTTTCATCATGCTTTGCTCTTCGTGATATCTCTGCATTCAGTTTTTGCTATCACACATTTGTATATTTGAATCTTCTAATTTTTTCAATTGTTGATTGAAGGGGCAAAAGAGCCATACAGAATGTTTTGAATGGATTTTCCATTTTGTTTTCAACAGAAGTATATTGAACTTTTGAAAATTATCAGCGGCGCTGGTCATGCCAGTTTATTAGAGAAACAAATCCACAACATGTATGATTAATGTCGGCCATTTTGGTCAAGGCCGGTTTATGAGCTCTAGGCTGTGTTTTGATGCACAAAATTTCGGCGAAAGAAAAAAAATCCTTAAAAAAGGTCTAGTCCATGAGCGTACATCTATAACAACAACAACAAGCCTTTATTCCACTATGTGAGGTCAGCTACATGAATCATTTTTCTCCATTGTGTTCTGTTAAGGATCAAATTCTCATCTACATCTAATAAAGAAAGGTCATTTCTAATATTATCTAACCAAGTCTTTTTAGGTCTTCCTCTACCTTTCTTAATATAAGTCAAATCTAATACATCTATTTTCCTAACCGGATCATTGGAAGGTTGTCGTTTTATGTGACCAAACCATCTAAGGAGACTCTCTCTAATCTTATCTTTCACTGGAGCTACTCCAACCTTTTCACATATATGCTCATTTCGTATTATATCTTTAAGAGTAAAGCCACTCATCCACTTCACTAACCGGGTCATTGTAAGGTTGTCGTTTTATGTGACCAAACCATCTAAGGAGACTCTCTCTAATCTTATCTTTCACTGGAGCTACTCCAACCTTTTCACATATATGCTCATTTCGTATTATATCTTTAAGAGTAAAGCCACTCATCCACTTCAGCATCCTCATCTCTCATCTCTGCACACTTAACTTAAAAAATTATTTGAACATTTATTTCATCTCCTTCATTTCCGTAAATCCAAACAAAGCTTTATGTCCTTTTTTATATTTATCTCAGGGTTTAATGGATTTTTTTGAAGTCACTTGGCAACTCTTTTCTATTTTACATGACAGCATTTTGTCTTGCAAAGAATAATTATAATTACTTTTATCATTTTCTTGTAAAATAAATGAGCCCATATTGTAATTCGATAAATATCTTGCTATTCAAAAAACTATCAATGTATCCTACGATAAACTGGGCTGAGGACTGTTACATGTTTCTGCTATTACAGGTTATATATTGTCCTACTTTTTACTCGTTTGATTTTGTTGCTTTTATTGGATAACGGCTCTTTCTTCCTCCGATGTGAGGTAGCTGTAAATTCTGCTGCAATTTCATATTTAAAGAAGAGCCTATTTCATTGAATTTGTAGGGATGGGCTGCATTTCACGGCTCCAGGGAATAAGATATTATTTGAAGAGGTGGTGAAGAAGCTTGAAGAAAGCGGTATAAGTGTGGATACCCTGCCTGTTGATCTTCCTCCCTTTAGTGAAATTGACCCAAAGGATCCTCTGAAAGCTTTTGAGAGGTGATCTGATATATGAGCTCATCAAGGTGATGGGGTAAAGCATTCCCTCTCACTTGACATGAGTAACAGTAATATTTTTGTATAAATTATTCTATGCGGACATCAGACATCGTCCGGAGGCCAATCAGAACGCACCACGTTACTTTTTTGCTCAGTACCGGTGTTGTGTATTGAGTGATGTGACGCATTCTAGTCGGTATCCGGACCGTCCGATGTATGCACATAATATATTTTTATGTGATATAATAGCATATATATATATATGGCTAATGTCTTTATGTATCATATGCCTAAATTAAACAAAGACCTGCACGTCCATTGCAATACGATGTATCTGCAAATCTTCAGTTTCACAACAAATTTCTCTCAGAAGTTATTAATGTTTCTAGGAGCTATACGCTCTCATCACTGTGATAGAACTCAGTACTGCACAGTCATATACTGTTTTCATTTTTTTTTCTTTATGTGATGCATTGAGGACATGAGAAAGGAGATCTTTATATTTATGCTTGAATGTAGTAAATTATAGGAGAATTAACCATCCACTCATTTATTTAAATCAGATTAGCTAAGTCAATTGTTAAGCTTAAATTAGGCTATAAAACATGCTGATTGTGAAATGGCTTAGTTCACCTAGTTTAGAAGACACCCATAGTATTAGGTAGTCTACTACTTTTATTCGTCCATGATTGAGGCTCGATAAGTCGCAAGACGGACCAATTTGATTTAGGGTTTAGCAATTTATAGTGGTTGAGTCTACTTGTCTACATATACGCATTTCACAATCACTCTCCTTCTCGTCCAAACAAGGTGTAGAGGCTTCTATCTTTCATGGGTAATTGAAAAATCTTACGCTACTTTTCTACTTGGAAAGTACACTAATTTTTAGACACACGGATAATATATAATCACAAGTTCAATAAGCTCTAAACTTAATAAAGGATAAGAATATGATTTAAGAACAACCAATTAGTATAACCTCACTCACATAATCTATCAAAATTTTTTGAAAGCTTGAAGGAAAGAAATGAGAGATTGTTAAGAAAGTTTTCTTCATAGAATATCTCTAATCTCTGTTGACCCGTTCACATGCCAAAATCAAATCTGAGCGAATGCAAAGGGAGCAATGACAAACCTACACACATTATGCCTATAGTTTAAAACTCAATGTTTCACATGGCGATCTCGCAATGCCTCGGCATAGCATGAAATCACTCAAATGTTATATGTTCGTGAAATAGAATGCGTCGATGTGCCATGACTAACCAACGAATTTCGGTTCCTTTGCTTGGGAAGTCGTGTAAGGGTGAAGAAGATGAAGAGAATGACGGAATTCATTTTGTCGTCTCGAGTCACGAAGAAGATGAGGTAGCCGAAGGCGTTGCTCCATCGCTTGAGATGCAAAAACAGGAGAGAGATGTCTAGGAAAATAAAGTCATGCACACGTGGGAAGATTCAGTATTTTGTGTTTTTTTTTTTAATTGTGAGGGCACAAATTATTGAAGATAAAAAAAAAATTGGATCTTTTTCATCCGGGCTTGGAATCAACATAGACGATTTTTCTTTTAAAGTACCTCTTCATATCTTAAGTTGAATAAAAACATGGTTAATAAAATTATAACATTAAAAAACATATATTAAAGTGTCGAAATAAATATAATATTAATTAATTCTACTAATTTAAATGTAAGAGAACCTATATTTCATGATTCTTAAAAATTGGTATGACTCTAAACTATTGAAGCAAAAAAGTTGTGATAATCTAACAAAATAATTTTTAAATATTAATAGAAAGTAAAAAAATGTTTTATCTAAATCTTAAAATCTGTGAAAATTATATTAATAAGCATTGTTAGAAAATTTGTAACTAATTAAATAAAGAACAATTATTTAATTTCTTTTCACTATTTACGTACGTTTCATCGTAGATATGTTAAGATTAGATCCCATAGGATGATATGAAAACTTTTTAAGCCCTTTTTTAACGAATGATAGAAAACTATCTAAGCCTTTTTTAACAAATGATTCACTGCATCGAAAAATAAAAAAAAGACATAAGTGTTATTTTACGTTCATCCTCTGATCCTCATCATCTCTATCTAATCTCTAATTTATTTCTTACCCTTTTGCCTTCTCACACCTATCCCAATAATGACAATTAAAGATTCTCTGCAATCATTCTTCATTATTGCTTTTCTTTTTAGGAAAATAGGTACTCAGATAGAGCAAAAGCAATATACAAATCATATATCTCGCATAACACACAGGAAGCTTTTTAATTGATACAAGGCAATGCATGAGAAAGATGTTACCTCGATGAAACAACCAGGGGACTCCGCATCTGGATTCTCCATGAGGTGAAATCATTTTATGTGGATATTACGTAGTGCTACGTCTAGACTCTAATACAATACTGTCACGTTGCGGCCAAATTATCCAACGACCCTATACGATGAAATTATAATATTTATCACGTGTTTTCTAATTTTCCGCGCAGCCCGACGACCCAACTTGATCTAGATGCAAAAATTTAAGTTTTGTTAAAAAGAACCTCGCATAAGCGCCTTAATATCTAGGGTTTAGGATTTTGAATGACTATTTTTGCCACCTGACATGTGATTTCTCCTCAGAAGAAAGTTGAGAATGAAAAAACAGAAAGAGGCTATGAAGATTGAAACCGGTTTGAAGGACGTTAAATTCTCCGATGATATGGAAGGCATTACGCAAAAAGTCTAGAAAACTTACTGCAGCGAACCATAGGAGATAAGTCGGGGATATTACCGATAAATTTTAAAGTGTGAAGAGGTTTTACTATTTTTCTATAAATATAGATATTTTAATGGTTTAGGGTGCATCGTTCAAATCTTTTTTGATCCTTCGAAGTTTTATTGCTCTGCACAAGTTTAGAGTTTTGATTCAGTGTACAAGTTTAGATAAAACCTATATTGCTATGTAATATTGATGTGTATTATTACTGTGAATTTTTGTTGTGTACTACTGTGTATTGTTATTGTACACCGCAGCTGTATATATATTGCTATGTACCACTATGTACCGCTGCTGAGTGCCTCTATGTGCCGCTGAGTACCACCATGTCCCGTTGTGTACCACTATAACTGTTATGTACCGCTGTGTATTGTTGACATGTATCGATATTGTGTACCATTATATACTGATGTTGTGTATTGATGTTGTGTACGACTAGGTTGTCGAGCCTCCACGTGACGATACTATATTGGAGTCTGCCCATAGAGTTACGTCTGGAATTCACACAAAATAATTTATCGTAAATTTCAGACTTCTGGCTATCTTGCATTTGCTTTGTTTATTATGTTGAAAACTTACAAGAATTTTAATTATATTTTTCAATATGAAATCATAGGTGTTAGGATTCCCATTAATTGAAAATAATTCATCATTAATAAGTATTAGAAACGAGAGGGAAAAGGTCCATTAATTATTATAGCAAGCTTTTTTTTTTTTGGAAAATTATGGACTATGCCCTTTTTTATTAATCAGAAATAATTTACAAAATAACAAACATAAAATACAGAATAACCAACCATGATAAGAAAACAAATTAAGGAAGAACTAAAATAGAAAGAAGAAAATAGTAGAACTCAAAACGATAGATGGAGCTTCTGTGAATTGCTCCAAAGATATAGTTGAAGATGCACTGAACTCAGGTAGTCCAATAGGTAGTCTGTGAGATCATATACTCTGGTTGCCCAAAGACTGTCTAAGAGGATCCATCGTCAGGCTATCATCATAGTTCAGGCATTTAAAGAGAGAAAATAGCCTGACGAAAGAATAAATTCCATATTGTCTTAGAAATACCGTCAGCTAGCCCGTCATAGGACAGTAAAAGAAGCATCCAATCAGTGACCGTGTCCACCACTTCGTATCTAGCAAGTGTCACAATCATAGATTCTCAATGAGACAACTCCCCTTGTTCCATTTCTCTATCTTGAACTTCACAACTTTTTCTATGTTAGATCACACAGTAGTAAAGCATTTTGCCGAAGATTTGAATCTTCTGTTATTTCTTACACACTAAATATGATATATAGTTGCATTAAGTGTAAAAAGAATGCGATTTTTTTTCCTTGTATTCCCCAGGTAATCCACTAATAAACTCTAATGCCTGAGAGACATTAGGTCTTAATAGGAAATTTTGCATTTTCGGGATCAGTCGTAGTAGGATATTGAATGAATATTCACATTCAAAGAAAAGATGTGATAGTCTCAGAATTGTTGTAACATAACTAGCAAAGAGGGTTATTAATAACAATACCTCTCTTAAAAAGCACATCATCCGTTTTTAATCTATCTAATACTGCCATCCAAGTGTAAATAGAATACCTTGGTGAGTGATTTTTGTGCCAAATGAGACGATACCAGTCAATATGGACATCATTAGTAAAAAATTCCATGTAATAATCTTTATAATCAGCCTTCTTTTTACCATCCCAGACCAAAAAATTGGTCTTATCACTAGCAAGAGGAATTCTACTAATGAATTCCCTAATATCCCCATTGATGGATTCAGGAATGCAACAATTTTCATTAAGAATCCATTCCTCTATCATGTCCTTGTCTTTACAGTGATTAAGTAAAGGGAATTCAAGGAATTTATTTGAGATAGTGTCTCCCGAACACCAATGGTCTCAAATAATAGATGCCTTACTATTACTTTGGGGGATAAACTTGAATTTGTTTCTCACTTGATTGGCAGTTTTGCAAATGTTATTGCAAAATTTGGAAGACTGAGCACCATTTTTCTTCCAGGGGGAAGAATACCGAGCTAGAAGGAAACAGTAAGAGGGATCTAGTATTGTAAAATCTCCCAATAATGCAGCAGTTAAAAGCAAACTGGATATCCAAGATGGACGAGATACCCAGCCCACCATAACATCGTGGTTTACAAGTATTTACCCAAGAGATTAGATGCAAGTGCTTTTCATTTGTGTCTCCAAAATATAAAAATTTGGCACAAAGCTTATTAATACTTTTAATAACAGCTTTAGGGATAAAAATGGCTCTTACCCAGTACGCCACGATATTACATATAGTATACTTAATGTATTGCATCATGCCAGCAAGAGATAGGGTTTTGGCTTTCCAACTTGAAAGGAGACTATTAACCTTTTCCAATAATGCATTAAAATTAGAGACTTTGATTTTTCCTAAAGAAACAGGGATGCCCAGGTTATTAAAAGTGTTTGTAATTTTGTTGACATTCAGGATCTGAGCAAGTCTAAGGGTATTAGACATATGTTTAGAGAAAGTAGTAGTGCTCTTGAGGTTGTTGATATGAAGGCCGAAACAATTGGAAAATTTCTCCAGGATAATCTTTAGTAAGTTACAGTTTGCCTCAATAGCATTTCCAAAAACTATGAGATCATCCTCATATAAAAAGTGAG